ATCGGGATCAGATAGAACACACACACACACACACACACACACACACACACACACACACACACACACACACACACACACACACACACNAAAAAAAAAAAAAAAATAGTAATTAATTAAATAAATAAAAATAATAAAAATAATAATTTTTAAAAAAGGAGTAAAACATGATAAATAATATTAAAATAAAAAAATAAAAAAATACTAATAAAAAAACATAAAGAATAAATATGAATACAAATAAATAAAATAAAACAGGATTAAATCAAATATGCAGAATGTGCGTACCCTCGGGGGTCTCTGTTGGGCCCCAGCTGCAGCAGCTGCTGATGCTGGAGCTCCTGGAGGTGGAGGCGTGCAGCGGGATGGTGCCGATCACCAGAGGGAGAGAGAGAGAGAGGTTCAGACCGCCGGGGACGTCCACGTACACCTGCACACAGGGAGAGGGCGTGAGTGTGTGAGTGTGTGTGAGAGAGTGAGTGAGTGAGTGAGTGAGTGAGTGAGTGAGTGAGTGAGTGAGTGAGTGAGTGAGTGAGTGGTGTGTGTGTGTGTGTGTGTGTGTGTGTGTGTGTGTGTGTGTGTTTCAGTGTGTGTGTGTGACAGACATTCAGACGGCTTCATTTGAGTGTGTGTGTGTGTGTGTGTGTGTGTGTGTGTGTGTGGGTGTACTCAGAGTATTTTCATATACACATGACCTATGGTGCATTACACAGCCTGCAGTGTGAGATATGTGAACACTGTGTACTCAGACGTCCTGCACACACACACACACACACACACACACACACACACACACACACACACACTTCAGATATACAACATGTCTGCTAGAGGTATCAGCTGTTCTGTCTCTGTAAGGCCGGGAGGTTTAATATATCAGACGATGTGAGTGCTGCAGCTTCCTCAGGGTTCACTGTGGGTTCCCCCCTTTATATCCAATTTAAAATGTCCCTTGAAATTCGAGGCAGAGTTTTAGACTAGGATCGAGGGTTGATTAACTTTGATAATCAGAAGCTTTACAGAAACTCATCCAGTAAGAAATATCAAAAGCATTGATATTCCTGCGCTAAAGCTAAACTCAATGTTCTGGTTTTTCCCGTGTCTTCTATGATCCATGGGAACCCTGAGTAGTTTTAAATGTAGATATAAAGAACATAATGTCCCCAGCCTCTCATTATCTTTACCCCGCCTTTAGTCGTCCTTTCCAGCACGTCCTCTCAGATACACCCTGTCCCTAGTCGCCTTTCACGACGCGTCCGTCGTCCCAGATACAGCCCTGTAACGCATAAGCTCCTTTAGAGACGGTCCTCTAGCACACAGATAGCAACCCTATGCGCCTAGTCCTTCAGACGCCGTCCTCTCACAGATACACCGGCTGTCGCCTAGTCCCCTTAGCGCCTCTCCCAAGTCCAAGGAATAAAGACTCAGGTGTGTATGCAGAACTAGAGGACGTCGCTCTCGCGGAGGAGTCCAAATTAGTGAAGTGACGCAAACCGCACGTTGGCCGAGAACGTATGGCAAGCAGTGACTCAATTCCCAGTCATTCGTGTGCAAGAGCTTTTAGTACTTAAATATATAGCAACTCCGTTAAACAATCCTCGTGGTCCTTTCGACCCATAACCCTACTAACTAGGACGTGCGAGACCTCCCGTCGAGACGCGCTTGCGCGAGGACTCCTTCCGAGGACGTGCGTTTTCTGTGTGGACCTTGCTGCCGTGGTCACGCTGCCTGTCGTGCGAGGACCTTTCTCCTGAGGGACCTACCTCGCGATGAGCGGCCGTCGGGAGACCTCGTGTGCCTAGACCTCTGTGCGCCGCTGGCACCTCCGTTCGAGGAGCTCCTGTGGACACCTTGGTGGACGAAGTAGCAAATTTGTCGGGTGAGTTGGGGTGGAGAGGCTATAGCGGTCCGTCTCTGGAGTCTTCGACTGTCTATGTTCTCTCGTTTACAAGTGTACTTTTTGGTAGAAGTCGGTTCGGGTGTGGTACGTCGCAAGGCTTTTGTATTTTACTATACAATGGCTTCAAAGTTTTAAGAGATGTTTTCTCTGTTGTAGGAGATGCGCGAAAAAAATTTTTATCAGGCATTATCAAGCTAAAATTCTAGTTTTTAGACTTGAAATCTCTTTCGAATTACTTCTTGTTTGTCTAAGACTAAAAGTTTAACAGCCACTAAGATTTACTTTTCTCACTCTATTATCTTTCTCTGCTCCTTAGACTCTAAAGTATTTTTTCCATGTTAAAACCCCTTTTTGCTCTTAAACTCTAAAGTATTTTTTGACTTTACAGAAAAAGAAAGGACGTATCGTTTTAGTTGGTAAAATCCTAAAAGACTTATGTTTCGCTCTAAACCCCAGGACAATAACGCTCTAAATGTCCTTTCTTCTCTCTTATAAGGCTCTGAAATGTCCGTTTTCACTCTAGCAACCTAAGGGTGTCAACAGTCTTTACACTCTAATAGTCTTTTTCGTCTTAAGCGCGCGCTAAGATGCGAGTCGTGCAAATTTTAAGACGTTAGATTTTTTAACAGAATGTATAAAGCCTTCTTTTTGAATTAAAGGCCTCAAATGTCTTTCCTCGCTCTTAAGACCTGAAATCTTTTCGGGTTTTCACGAAGTGATTTTTGTCTATAGCCGGACCACTCGACGTCCAGACGTATTGTTACAGAGTATAAGCTGGATCTGTTGACAAAAATAAAGAATGGAATTTTTTATCTGAACTCGAACCGACAGGACAACGCTTCGATGACTGACGTCCTTGTCTTTATTACAATTTCAAGTCGCTGACGCTATAAAGACAACACACTGTTCATTCCACAAGTTGACTACCTCCCTTTGAAAATTTCTCTGCGAAATGCTTGTAGAGTCTTCAGGACGTGAGGTGAAATTGGTATTACCTTGTGTTCTGCTACGTAACTTGGGACTTCACTACAGGAACAATCTTTCACGACTGGC